TGGTTATTATTTTTATTTTACCTTTCTTCTTTTTGCTTGTTTTTGTTTTTTGAGGCAGGGTCTCATACTGCTGGCTTAGAACTCACTATCCTGGGAATATAGGTCTTTAAGTCACATTCTCCTGGCGCCTGGCACACAGAAGATGCCCGATAGTTGCTGAGATGATGAATATGATAATCAAAAGACCATTCTTTGCTTCTCTTTTGTATATTTCTTCTCTCCTGGATCTTTAACCAAACTTGTATTTTATCTAGAATTTCCTTTTGGCTATTAGATGTGCATTAGTGTTAGGTAAAAATAACCGAACATTGTTCTAAAAAATCTTTCAGAAAATGTCTACATCTGTAAAAATTTCCTTTAAAAGTTTCCAGAGATCTTGCATTTGAAGGCTTTTAAAACTTTTAGTTGTTTTCACTTGTGAAGACAATCTTCGGCATTTTCCTCCTGACTTGCAGCAGGTCACAGATTGTCTGTAGTTACACCTTCACCACTGGCATTGCTTCAGTCACACATTCCCTCTTCAACTCCCCCCAACACACACACACACACACACACACACACGCACACGCACACGCACACGCACACGCACACGCACACGCACACGCACACGCACACGCACGCACGCGCACACACACACACACACACACACTCTGCTGGAACACAAACTCACATAGCCTCCTCTTAATTAGTTATGCCTTTTTACAGTAGCTTGGGTCCTGGATCCCAGGACAGCACTCAAGACTTATGGTCCAGGCTAGTGGTTATAAATAGACCACTGCTGTCTACACTGACCAAAAGAGGGTGTTGTGTAGATAAGATCAGAAATGCGGTTGGGTTTGGAGCAGAGTTCTGACAGAACTGCTAAGCTGCCAGGGAGTAGAAAACTTGAGGGCCATAGGTTCAGTCACTCCCCAGTGTCCTACGCTGTAACGGCTGTAACCCTAGAATAACTCAGTTCACACACCCTCTGCGAGTTCCTCTAGCAGCTCTTCTCATGGGATGTAACTGGGAAGCAGTGGTTTTACCTATGGCTCTTTTTTGAGTGTCTAATGTATACTATGAGCTGTCCCAAACCTACTAATTATGCAGTCTTTAAATGAAGAAACTGCGTGTAAGAGTGGTTAGATAATGTGCACAGATTTTCCAGAATAGTAAATTGTGGGGTCTGGTGTCCAGCACAGCCCTTTGTGATTGTTGGGGCTATGAACTCTGTCTTACCCCCCACTACTTAGCTTAAATGTCTGGAGCAATACAGTTCTCTAACGAAGTGGCTGATTTCAGAAATGAGTTTTCATCATTTTTCATATCTGTTATGGTACTCCACACTCTGGAGGTAGCCTCAATATACTCTTTGGTCAACTTTCTCCTTTTTCCTTTGAGGGACATGGGTTTCCTTGAAGACACTGTACCTATTAAATAAATAGTGTTTCCACTAGGAAATGATCTTCCCAGGCGTACAAACAGCTTTTTCTAAAAACAGACTAATTTGCTTTTGTAATCATATCTCATTGCATCCATCTTCCTCCTCTTCTCCTCTTTCTCTGTTCCCCTCCAAGCCTCCTGGATGCCCAGCACCCTCTCTCGGTAATAGCTTGTAACTCTAGCTCTGGGGGATCCAATATCTTCTTCTGGCCTCTATAGGCACTTCTCTCATACACACCCACCCACCCACCCATACACACACAAGTTTAAAAATAAAAATCTTAAAACATTTTTTAAAAAATGAATTTTTAAAAAGTTTTGCAGAGTGTGGTGGTATGGTATGGCAGTCCTATATGCCTTTAATCCTAGCTCTTAGGGAACAGAGACAGGCAAATCTCTGTGAGTTTGATAGCAACCTGATTTACACAGCAAGTTCCATACCAGCCACGTTACACAGTGAAACCCTGTCTCAAAATAAGAAAGAGAGAGAGAGAGAGAGAGAGAGAGAGAGAGAGAGAGAGAGAGAGAGAACAAAAGTATTGAATATGGTATACACCAAGGGAAAGCCTTAGCATTTAAAAATTCTACTCAGAAACCCCACGAATAAAAATGTGTTCCTTCGATTTTTCAAGACAGGTTATGCCATTCTTGCCTGGAAGAATTAACACTTCCGGCCACTGTTAGCTTACAGCGAACATTGCAGTCAATGGCTTTCCTTGTACCAATAAGCTGAGACTAGTTTTCCTGAATGAATGTAATAAAAACAAAACAAAACCAAACAAACCTCCCTGGAACAACAAACAAACAAAAGCGCAGATCCTCTCTGTGTAGCCCTGGCTGTCCTGGAACTTGCTCTGTAGACCAGGCTGGCCTCAAGAGATCCTCTGCTTCCTGAAGGCTGGGACTAAAGGGACGGGCCATTACTGCCTGGCTATGAATGAATGTATTTTTTAATGTGTGCTGGGGTAGAAAAGAATGAAAGGGAAAAGGAAGGATGCCTGAGGTGGGTATTAAGGTTTTGGTTTCGAGCCCCAGCGAGAGGAACTCCAGAACAAATGCTCTTCTTTTGTAAGAACTGGCATTGCCTGGGAATGGCAGCCTCTGTGCCCCTGGAGAGCAGAGGACATGAAACACCAGGTACAGGGGCTGAGCCTGGGGCTTGGAGACAAGCTTTGTCTTGGCACTGAATGTTGGAAAGAGATATCACATCTTCAGCTCTGTGCGCTAGTTTTCCTGTGGCGGGAACTGTTCCCACTGAGCACAGTTCACATCATTCTAAGTCTTACTAAAGAACCAGCCTGCCTCCATTTTTGGCTTAAAAGCCATCTTATAGTAAAGATAAACTAGGTTCATTCCTGTTTATGATTAAATCTGTTTCTCAAGGATTGGGCTATGCCCCACCTGTTACCTTAACTACAAATGATTCTGTACTGTCTGTTCCAGGAAATGGCACCATGTTTTTGTTTCAAAAAGCTATAACCATCTCACAACCCTACCTTTGTTTCAAAAGGTCATGACTACCTTGTTATGATCACCTTCTTATGTCCTGCTCCTGTAGTCCCATCTAGTTTGGCCGCCAAATCCCCCCCTCTGGAAACCCTCTACACCTGAACTATATAAAAACCTTGCCTTCCTCGAATCCAATGCTGACCTCTGGAACCCTGCCATGGGGTGGGGATGGAGGCAGCCTTCGTACAGGAGTGAAAAGCCCTACTTTAATGAATTGGGCCATGGTGATTTGAGTCGGTGGTCTTTCTCCTTGAGTCTGTGGGGTTAGCTTTGCCTGTGTCTGATTGATTGCTCTTTCTTTCCTTTGCAGAGCTGGTGCTAGAGCTCCGAGGTCGCCAGACCAGGCACAGCACCATCTGTCCTTGACTCCTCCAGCCCAGCTTGGCTACTACAGGAGCCCACAGAGTCTAAGAGTTTTCTCAGAAGCAGCTTTAATGAAGGTGCTTTTCACGGGCTTTTGTCCCCCCCCCTCCAGCCCCCCCCCCCAAAAAAAAGTACAGGCCAAAGAGCTGGCGTGGAAACTGAGCATATGCTGCCAGAACATCTCTAGTCTGAGCTTCTTTATAGGAGTCTGGCATTCTCTTTGATCTCTGAAGACATACTTCATAAAAGCCTTTTAGACTTTCTGCAGAGTAAGGACTTAGGGACAACAGTCTGGGGTGGTGGTTTTTAGCATGTTGTGAGACCCGCACAGACACTGCAAGCCAACTGTTCCATTAGACTGCATATTAATTATTGTCGGATGATAATGGGCTCAGCTCACCGCTGCCGCACGGCCACATGTCTATGCTTTTGGCTTGGTTTGTGTGAATTCTGGCAGATGACTTAACCTGGCCTTTCAACGTTTCAGTGCCAACTTGCTAGCCAGAGGAAGAGCCTCCGTGCTCAACTTGTTAATCAAACCACCGTTTCCAGCACAATAGCTCAGCCAGGCTCCAGCCCTCCCTCAGCACAGGACCGCCAGCGCACAGCTTTCTGAAGGAAAGCAAGAGGCCCGGGGCCACCCAGATGTTATCTTTTTACAGGGCTTCTTCTCTTTTGTACTTGTGAAAGACAAGGCATGCATCCTTAGCATCAAAAGCAAAACAAAAGCGCCCTCTCATTAAAAAAAAAGTTCTAAACTCTCTGAACCAGACGGCTCCGTTTCCTTTGCTTAAACTCATTTCCTGCCAGCCAGCAGCCTTTTGCTGTTTACTAAGACTGAGTAGCTCTGGACCCGGCCACTTGTTTGGTGACACATCTTTGGGGGGTAGAATTTTTAGGCTTTTCCCATCTATGCATTTTTGGGTGAGCTTTAATTTCACATGAAATCAAAACCTTTGCCAAGCTTTTCTCCTTCAGTCAGTTCATCCATTTGCTGCTGTCTTGGGTCTCCTCTAAGCTCTTCCCCACCCCACCCCACCCCCATGGCATCTTCACTTCGGTTTAGACCCAAATGTGTGTGATCACTAAAAACAAAACAAAACAAACCCTACCACATGCAGGCTGGCCGCAGCTCAGCTCAGGCATCTTTCCAAGATTCCAGTAGCCGGACAATGCCCCAGCCCCGGCCAGTGCAGCCTGGGAGTGCTGGCGGAGAAAGCCCACCTGGCTGTGCTTGGGTGTCAGACTGAGCTGGGTCGTTAGCGGGTGGAGGCCAGGGATTGGTAGAGGGGTTGTTTTACAGAGACAGTAGGTGCCATGGGTATCTATCCACCAAGGCCTCGAATGCACATTAGAAATAGATCCAATTTACAAGTGTGTTTTTAAAATGCATTTTATGAGGCTATTATTATCCTTTTTCCATTTTAGGATGCTTCCAATAAAACTGTGTCCAATTTGGTATCAAATTGCATCAGCAGAGCAGAACAGGCTGAAAATAGAGTTTTTAGTTTTCTTTTTTTTTCTTCTTGTTTATTTCCAAAAGACTTTCCAGTATCCTTGGGCTTGTCAAGACTAAATTAATCTTGTCACAAAAGGAAATGTAAGGCTTAGCATTCATTGTATTACAAAGGTAATTGAAGTCTGCTTTGGGGCTGAGAATTCTTAGTCTCTTAGAGGTTTTGTCTGACTCTTTACAAGAAATTAACAAATACAGAGAGGATTGTAGTCTGATCATGATAATGACAGGACTGCTCCTAGGTATGGTGGAGGAGAGAGTTTATTGCCGATAAAAGGGAGAGCATAGGTAGAGGCAGGGACGGACATCTGGAAGACTCCAGAGTGGACATGACCAAACTGAGCTGGGCCATGTGGGAGGGAGGGAAGGGAGAAGGGAGAGGAGAGAGAAGGAACCAGGTGTAGCAGCCAGGAGGTCAACAGTCCAAAGGGGGCAGATAACCAAAATGTCTGGATTATATAAGGAAGAGCCCCTGGGGAAGGGCAGCCCAGTCCCTGGGGTGGAGAGTTGAGGGGAGAAGGTGGGGTATTCAAGCCATACCCTGTAACAGGTAGGGACTGAGGGATGCTGGGAGAACTTGGCGGCCAGGTCTGCTTTGATATGTTAAATCGGCACCTCAGCCATTTGTCCCGGGTTTGAAACCCAGCAGTATATACATTTCATTTTGGATCTCATAAATATATACATAACGACTTGTCAATACTCAACAAACTAAGAAGACATTTAGGTTTTGTCTTGGCTTCTCAGGTGAGAGTCTAGAGGAAGGGTTCATATTTCTCCCCGGGAGATGGGAGAGCGTAGCAGAGTGGCTTATGATCCCCACAATGGCAGCCCTAGCATCAGGCTGGGAAAACAGGATCCAGCCTTTCAGGGTCCCTCTGTTGTGGTGTATGCCTTGCTCTCCCCTTTGAGAAACTACTAATTCTCTCTGTCACCCTGATTTTCCTCTTTCTTTGAAGTTACTGTTGACTTTAGTGCTCAGAGGAAAGCAGAGCCTGTTGGCTTCTAGAGGGGAGAGCACAGGAAGATTGACATCTAGGCAGGCTGACTCAGAGCTGTCTCAGTGACATGTGTCCATGTGGATATCCCGTCTGTCACCCAAGAACACCCATTTAGATAGTTTCATCTGAACATGAGTCATGCAGGGGAGGGCAGTGCTAACACCTCAGGCCCTGGACAAGGCAGACCACGCCTTCTGTAAACAAACAGGGGAACAGGAACCCAAGAGGAAAAGAAAAACAAGAACGACACAAAGTTTGGTTTTGTTTTCCTGAATATGGCCCTCCGGGCCCTGAGCTTACAAAGACAGAAGATACCCCTGGCCCTTAGGAGGAAGACGAGGGGCCATGTTCTGCGTGACGGTTGCTGACGGAAACACACTGTGTGAACAATGTCAAACTTTCAGCACGTGGTAACTTGCCTCCTCGTCTCCTCCCCTATTTCTTATCTTCCATGTGTTGCATTCTGAATTCAAATGTATTGCAAATCTAACTTTCCATTTTCAATTTCAAGAAAATGATAATCCTACTTGGGTTCACTTTTTTTTTTTTTTAAACAACCACCCATAAAGTAGTGAATGAAAAAGAAATGCTTTTTTTTTTTTTTAAAATCCTCACTTAGAACATATATTTTTTAAAAAAAAATTTATCAAAGGCTGGCAGGCTCTCCTGCCACACCCATGAAGCCTCTTAAAAATATTGACAGGGCTGTCAATGCAGACTCACTCTTGGACCAAGGGAAGGCAGCAAATCACTGGTGTGTTAGAGCCTTGTAGTTCATGGAAAAGAGATATTTTTGTGTGCAAGGTCTAGCAAAATATTAGGAAATGCATACAAATGAACACAGCAATGTAAAAATTTTCAAAATTACCACTACATTAGCATCTGACTTACCCAACCTGCTTGAACTCTTCTGGCTTCCACAAGATTGTGTGGGGACCTTTATAATGCTAATTTCGGTAAAGTATGAAAGCTATTAAAGTCTGAATAATCTTTTAAAGTCCAACCTTCTGAAGCACTGGCTGTGGTTATAATTTAAAACAAATACAGATTTGTAAAAACTGCATTTCTAAATCCACAGCAGCTACCAGTTCAAGGCAGGTTTTTAAAGAGAGCCTTCAATTCAGCAAAGGAAAAAAAAATAAGCAGCTTGTTATTAATTATTGACTCTTTTTCAAAGGGGAAATGGGTAAGGAGTATAGATTAGTGGTACAGTATATGAACGAGGCCCTGAGTTTAGTCTTTAGCACAGAAATATGAGTCCATGAATAGTGTTTGAATATTTTCTAATTCGTTATTTGTTAATGGATTACTTACATTTTAAAGTTTCTTATTTTTAAGTGTGTGTGTGTGTGTGTGTGTGTGTGTGTGTGTGTGTGCATGTTCTGTGAGCACAGTATTCTTAGATGTTGTAGAATATTATTTTAAAGTGTTACCTTTGTTTATGTTGCATTTGTTTAACTCTGTGAAACTGTGTTATTGTGCCTGTCTAAAACATCTGATGGTCTAATAAAGAGCTGAATGGCCAATAGCAAGGCAGGAAAAAGGATAGGTGGGGCTGGCAGGCAGAGAGAATACATAGTGGGAGAAATCTGGGTGGAGAAAAGAAAGAAGGAGCCAGAGAAGGAGGAGGACCTAGAGGCCAGCCACCCAGCTACACAGAACCCATGGAGTAAGAAAAAATGAAAGGTATATAGAAATAAAGGTAAAAGCCCAAAGGCAAAAGCTAAATGGGATAAATTAAGTAAAGCTGGCAAGAAACAAGCCAAGCTAAGGCTGGGCATTTATAATTAAGAATAAGTTTCTGTGTGTGATTTATTTGGGAGCTTGTTGGCTGTTAAGATTCTGTGTATTTGCAGCTGGGGTCTCATCTGGCGCCTTATTATGTCATCAGTAGGCGACTGCATCCTGAAGCTAAAAAGCCAGACATGCACCCACATGCTCTCTCTCTGCGCCTCTCTTGGTCTCTGTCTCTCTCTCTCTGTGCCCTTCTCTTCCTGTTTCCTCTCTGCCAGGCCTGGCTTCTCCTGTCCTATACCCTCTTCTCTCTAACACAGAGAGAACTTTATTAGACCATCCCATTCTAACTCTGGTAACCATAGCTTGTGATTCTTCCAATCATGACTCTTCCGCCGGCATCCAGCGCTGACCAAACAAGTGCCGCCACAACCGCCGTGGTATCCAACGCCAGTCACTAGTGCCATATACCCTTTCATTGGCGGGCCCCCAAAAGACCTAAAAACAAACAACAACACTTGGAGTCCAGAAGGCATCAGGCTCCCTGAAGTTGTGAATCCCCCGACATCGATGCTGGGACCCGAATTCTAGTCCTTTGCATGGGAATTCCAGTCCTCTGCAAAGGCTTTAGGCACTCATAACCAGAGACATCTCCTTGGTCTGATAGGTATTATTTTTAATCTGATTTTCCTTATGTCTATATCAGGTGGCATCTGAATATTGAAAATGATGGCAGCACCCACTCTGTCTTGGATTTTGTTGTTATTGTTAATGTAACACAAGCTAGAGTCATCTGCAAAGAGGAGCCACCTAATCATGGTGATATTTTATTTGTACTGAAATGTGATTTTATTTGTATGTTAACAAATAAAGTTGCCTGGGGGTCAGAGCTAATAGCAAGCCATAGCAGAAGCCAGGCGGTGGTAGCACATGCCCCTAATCCTGATCACATGACAGGCAGATCTCTGTGTGTTCAAGGATACAGCCAGCATGGAGACACACGCCTTTAATCTCAATACCAACCATAGAAGACTTGGAGGTCTGTATAGACAGGCAGGTCATGTGGTTGGGTTTACAACCAATGAGAAGGCAGAACAAAGTCAATAAAAGGACAGACACACAGGAAGCAGGCCTCTTGCTGAGGGGAAGGACAGCAGCGGCAGTAGGGTAAGAAAGGGTTTCTAGCTCTCAGCTACTGCTCTGACCTCTGGGCTCTTAACTCTGCAACTGGCTCTCTGTTTCTTATTTAATAAGACGGCTACATCTACACCTAATGCTCATTTCTATGTCACCAGACTCACCGTTTTCCTGCTAATTCCCTGGCTTGTTATTCATGAACTGTTTTAATGGCTTTACTGCTGTGGAATGTTCTTTATGGCAAATATGTTAATAAACAAAGCACTCATTGGACAGTAGCCAGACAGGAAGTATAGGCGGGACTAACAGAGAGGAAAATTAAGGGAACAGGAAGGAGAAG